TGTTGTTGATTCCGCAACTATTGCTTCTCATTTTGGGTTAGATGATGATGGTGTGTTTGACGAAAAAGAATCTGTGGCTTATCCCTATACCCCTAATGCTAGTGTTAGTACCCTTCAAACCCATCATGACCGTTTCCTTCATTTTATTATTTCTTGGTGGTTTCGTCCTTCTTCTGGTAGGTACTCCACTCTACATGCTAGGGATTTATGGTGGATGTATTGTATTAAAAATAAAATCAAAATAAATCTTCCACAGGTCATTTTTAGTCAACTAGTAGACATCGTAAACATTGTCCCTTCTAAACATGTTGAAACATTAGCCTACGGATGTCTACTTAGTAACATGTTTATCAAATTTGGTCTAGAAGTTTCTCTCGACACTCCCATTCCTCTCCAAAATCAAATCAATCTCACTTCTTTAAAGAAACCGGATTGGGTTCAAGATGAACGCATCGGTTTTTGGGTCTTCCAACCAAATAAACAAACTCCGGGAGCTAGTTCTTCTCGTGCTCCTCCTTCTCCTCCGGTTGCGGATGTTGATCCCGAGCTTCAAGGGATATTTCAAGATATTGACGATCCAGCTAATGCACCGGAACCCGCTCGGCAAGAAGATCAAACACCATCTTATTTCCGATCCTTTTTAGAGGCATTTGATCTACGATTTGCTTCCATGGAGTCTCATATTACTGAGTTTCAGAGGGAGATGTGTGATCGTATAGATGCTCTGACTCTTGAAGTTTGAGCTCATTATCCTTCTCCTCATGATCCTCCGATGGAGTAGATTTGTATTTCTTGTCATGCTTTCCTAAATTTAAAACTTGGATTGATTTTGATATTTCTGGTTTGTTTGTTTTTGGATGCTTGAACTTAATATATATATTTGGTTTGGTTAAATTTTCTTATTTTTTGCATCATTAGTCATATATGACCAATTATCCATTGCATGTTATATGAATATTGATTTATGAAAATAATGGCTAACCTCTCTTTTGATTGTGATCTTAGCAGCTTATAATTAATAAATCAATTAGCTTAAGTTTTTCAAAACATTCTTGTTTATAACGTTTTATAGAGTCTTTTTGATTTAACAAAAAGGGGGAGAAGATGTGTGTCATAGTAAGGGGAGTAATTTTTCAAAAGTTGATATCAAAAATAATTTTCTAAATCTTAAAATTTCCCAAGTGTTTTGTTATATCAAAAAGGGGGAGATTGTTAAAAACAGTTTTGATATTTAGATATAACAAATTAAGTTAAATGAATTTTAAGATTTTACAAATGATTTTACAATTCATATTCGATTCAATTTATCGAATATCAAATTATTACTCCAAGACTTTAAAGATCAATTTTAATCCTTACTAAATGTATAAAATTGTGATTTGTACTTAAACTATTTTTGAAACAATTTTCACAAATTATTTTGAACCAAAATCAAGCCTTAAATAAATTTTTTCAAAGGCATGCACCATGCATCAATACCATGCATCGATGCATCAATGAATAAATTAAAACATCGAATGCATTCCATGCACCGATGCACTCTCCATGCATCGATGCACTCTGCTTTAATTGAAACATCGAATGCATTTGATGCATCGATGCACAATCCATGCATCGATGCACCAGGCTATTTTTCAAACATCGAATGCACTTCATGCATCGATGCACTCTTAGTGCATCGATGCACTAGGAGTCCAACGGTCAAAATATTTGAAATTTTACACTGATGCACCGGTGCATAATGGTCATGCATCGATGCATGAGACGCTCCCACCCAGAAATTTAAATGTTTTCACACAATAATGGCTCTATTGACTCCACTAATTATCACCAACGTTCAGAATTGATTTAAGGAGTATTTAAACAAGTTTAGAAGCCATTGATCAACAACAAGAAACATCAAGCAATTAGAATCAAGAGAGAATCAAAGAGAAAGCATCAAACCTCAAGTTTGAGAATTTCAAGCCTATTTTTCATTCAATATTCATTTTGCTTTCAAGAACACTTATTGTGCTCAATTGTATTTATTATTGAGTGTTCTTTCTTTGTTCTAGAATTGTGCAAACATATTTGCCTTGTGAGGTTTTTCTTGTAAGTTTGCAAATTTGTATTTCTCTTTGAGAAAAGAGTGTTCTCAAGAATTGAGGTATATTCTTGAGGGAGTTGTAAGGTTATCTCTTTGGCCTCAAAAGAAAGAACAAATTAGTGAATTTGTTGGAAAATCCTTAGTGTGGATAGCTAAGGTAGTGGACGTAGACTTTGGTTGATAAAGTCAAACCACTCTAAATCGCTGTGCAATTTCTTTCAATTTTCTGCAAAAGCTTCCACCAAAATTTTTTATTGCCAATTCACCCCCCTCTTGGCCGATTCAGTCAATCGATTAACTCAACAGTGAGTTTAGTGGCTGGGGGTCTTGAAATTCCTATTAAAAATATCGAGACTACGTTCTCAGTTTATCTTCATGTGGGAACTCCGGCGGAGGTTAACAAGGTTTATATGAATTATCTCTTATAACTACATGGTGAAATCTTTTCGGCTAACCTACTAGAGTTTTCTTTTGGGGAACTCAACTTTATCCTCAAGATGGATTGGTTAACCACTCATCGAGCTAATCTGGACTGTGATCTGTAAAGGGCTACTCTGAAGACTCCTGATAATTGTGAATTCGTTCTTATCAAATAACGTCTTGGGTTTCTAACCAACTCAGAGTCAAATCTAAAGGTTGAGAAGATGATTAAGAAGGGGTCGTTACTTATCTAGCTTATATTCTGGATCTGAGGAAGTCTGAGGATGGTATAAATAAGATCATAGTTGTGAGAGAATTTTTGGACGATTTTTCGGAATAATTACCTGGCGTGCCACCTAAGCGTAAGGATATTGAATATGGCATTGAGGTATACCCCAGCACAGCTTCGATGCCTATAGCACCTTACCGGATGACACCTAAGGAGCTTAAGGAATTGAAGGTTTAATTGCATGAGTTGTTGAAGCGGGGTTTCAATCGATCGAGTGTGTCACCATAGGGAGCACCAGTTCTATTTGTTAAGAAAAAAGACGGGACACTACTGTTGTGCATTCATTATCAGAAGTTGAATAAACTGACGATTAAGAACAATTTTCAGTTACCTCGTATTGATGAACTTTTTGATCAATTACGTGGAGCTTTAATATTTTCTAAGATAGACTTGAGATTCGGTTATTATCAGCTCAAAGTTAAGGATTCTAATGTGTCTAAAATGACTTTCTGGACTCGCTATGGCCATTATGAGTTTCTCGTGATACCTTTAGGACTTACCAATGCTCCTGCCACATTCATGGATATGATGAATCGGGTATTCCAACCTTATCTAGGTCAATTTTTTGTAGTCTTCATCAAAGACATTTTGATCTATTAAAAGTCTGGAGCAGAGCACGATGAACATCTGAGGGTTTTGTTACAAACGTTGAGGGAGAATCAACTATATGCAATGTTCAACAAGTGTGAGTTTTGGCTTTCAGAGGTGGCATTTTTAGGTCATATAGTCTCTGCGAAGGGTATTCAAAAGGATCCAAAGAAGATTGAGGTAATTATGAGTTGGAAGCAAGCACAAAATGTATCAGAGGTTTAGAGTTTCTTGGGCTTAGCGGGTTATTACAGGAGATTTGTGGAAGGTTTTTCAGAATAACATTCTTTTTCTCTGGATTTAGACCAATGGTCTAGTTTTGAGAGGTTAAAAATTGTGTTAGCTAAAGCACCAGTTCTGATTCATCCCGAAACTGGTAAGTCTTACACCATCTATAGTGATGCATCTCACACTGGATTGAGATGTGTACTCGTGCAAGATGGGAAAGTGGTGGCATACGCATCTCGACAATTGAAGACTCATGAGTGTAACTAACTTACTCACGATCTCAAATTGGCAGCTGTGATCTTTTCCCTTAAGATTTAGCGGCACTATCTTTATGGCGAGAAATGTTACATTTACACTGACCATAAAAGTTTGAAGTACCTCCTCACTTAGAAGGAGCTTAACTTGAGACAGTGTTGGTGGTTGTAACTACTTAAGAATTATGACTGTGAGATCGAGTATCACCCCAGAAAAGCTAATGTGGTTGCTTATGCATTGAGTCTTAGTGCTATTGCGAACTTAAGGGCTTTGTTTGCTCGGATGAGTTTGTATGAGGATGGTAGTCTCTTAGCTGAGTTACGTGTAGTTTCTACCCTTGTTGCGGATATCCATGCGGAACAATGTAACCATCCATTTTTAATCCATCGTATTAGAGAGGTTGAGGGTGGTGTATCCCATTATTTTACTATTGATCGGGATAGTGTTATGTGTTTCAAATGTCGGTACTGTATTCCAAGAAATTCTTGATTTAAACAACTTATCTTCCGAGAGGCTAATGAACCTATATTCAATGCATCCTGGTGGGGACAAGATGTATAGGAATCTCTGAGAGAGGTATTGGTGGAAAGGAATTAAGTTAGATATTATCGGTTATGTATCTCGGTGTCTGACTTGTCAGAAGGTAAAGGCGGAGCACCAGCGTCCATCTTGATTATTGTAGCTTATTGAGATCCCGCAGTGGGAGCGTGTGACTATGTAATTTATTTCAGGATTACCTTTGACTTCGACAAAGAAGGACTATATCTGGGTTATTATTGACCGACTTACCAAATCGGTTTACTTTATTTCGGTTCGAGATGACTACCCTCTGAATAAGTTGGCTCGAATTTATATTTCTGGAATTATCCGTTTGCATGGGATACCATTATCCATTATCTCAGATCATGACCCGAGGTTCACCTCAAAGTTCTAGAAGTCTCTACATATTGCACTTCGTACTCTATTAAATTTTTGTACTTCTTATCACTCGCAGATAGATGGTTAGTTAAAACGGGTAATTCAAATTTTTGGGACATGTTGAGAGGTTTTGTCATTGATTATAGTGAGAATTGGGAGGAGTTTCTACCGTTGGTCGAGTTTGCTTATAATAACAGCTTTTAGGCTAGCATTAAGATGGCTCCGTATGAGGCTCTATATAGGTGTAAGTATCAAACTCTGATTGGTTGGACTGAGTTAGTTGAGCATAGACTATTAGGTTTGGATTTGGTTTATAAGGCAGAGCAGACTGTCAGAATGATTTGGGATAGATTGAAGATTGCCTTTGATAGACAAAAAATTTATGTTGATTTAAAATGTCGGGATATTAAGTATGATGCGAGTGATAAGGTTTTCTTAAAGGTATCTCCGTGGAGGAAGGTACTTTATTTTGGTCGGAAAGGCAAGTTAGGTCCTTGTTTCATTGTGCCTTATTGGATTATACGACGTGATAGACCTGTGGCTTACCAGCTTGAGTTTCCACTGGACTTGCCCGCATTCATGAAGTTTTTTATGTTTCCATGTTGAGGCGTTACTGAGCCGATCCGTCTTATGTGTTGGATGTGGATAAGGTAGAGATCTGACCCGATCTAAAGTCTGAAGAGGAGCTGGTTGAAATACTAGAGGGAGATGAGAAAGTTCTTCGGAGGAAGACTGTTAAGATGGTCAAGGTTTTGTGGCGTAACCAGGGTTATGATGAATCCTCATGGGAGACCGAGGAGACCGTGAAGGTTCAGTATCTGCATCTCTTTCCTCCAGGTAAATTTTGATAATGAAATTTTCGTAAAGGGGAGAATTGTAACACACTAAAAAATTCCCAAATTAGAACCCTAAAATTTGGGAAATTCTAACCTCAATTCCTAATTTGAAAATGATTACCAAATTGTAAGTTTGTAAAGCTTGAAGTTGTATTTTCAAAACCCTAGAAAATATGATTGTTTACCTTGCAATTAGGCCAATTTTATTTGAAACTCAACTCTCCCCTACCCTGATATAACTATGCACAACTTACTTTTATTTTTATAAGACCCTAGCACCAAACCTTTAACCTCTCTTCGCCGCTGGCATCTTTCTCCCCTGTCATCGTGCACATCAATTTATTGCAAAGGTAAGGTCCCAGATCATATTTTAGTGCTTTTCCATTGCCCCATCACTCGTTGTTGTCGTTGAACGAAACTGGTTGTGAAACTCGCTAGTTTTGGCTTGCTCTCGTCACCGGGGAAGACTCAGACGGCCTGGGTCACGACTGAACAACGTCGTTTGCCCGTGGAGAGCCTCTTTCGCTTGATGTCCTTCTCCGTCGCAACCACTGTCGGTCGTTTAATTCCATGTCAAGGTCGACCATGTCACCACTATATGTGCTCTATTGATGCCGACAACCCTATTTCTATTATAATAGTGTAGACATCCCATTTTGTCCATTATATATGTGTTATATTTATAATATTTATATATATATATTATAATAAACATAAATTATATATTATTTATTTTACTATATTACATTTTTTAGGTCCAATGTTACAAATGAGGCCAAATGTTACAAGTAAACCCAGCTGGCCAAGTACAAATACAACAAGCCCAACACGCGACCCGAACCCACTTGGGGCACCCAAACTGTCTGTAACCCGAACCGACCTCCAAGCCAAGTCTGAATCAGGTAGGGTTTTTGAACCCTAGCTCACCCATCTCTCAGCACAGTCAACCGAACGTGTAGAGTCCTCACCCCAACGGTCGAATTTTCAGGAGATTTCCTCAGCAACCACAACAAACATCACCAACAAACATGTTTAGTGCAACTAGGACTCATAAAAATAGCATTTTTTTACTATAAATCAATGTAAATAGAACACGATTACACACCACTTACGCACAAAAAATACTAAAAAATAGAAGAAAATTGCAAGAGTATTCGAAGCATTCTTTGTAAAAAATCGAAGAGTAATGCAAGGTAGTTTATACCTTTTTCGTAGTTCTTGGCTTACATGTGTTCTCTTTTTCCTCTTTGATTTGAAAAGTAATGAATTTTCAAGACGATAAACATGGGGGAAAACCGAAATCTATTTCTTTAGATCTAGCCCCCGAAGCTCGATTTTAACAAAACCCTTTAGATTTTTAAATGATGTAGAATAAAAGGTTTTTAAAAAAATAAAAAAAAGAAATTTTTGGCTGCCGTTCAATGGCGACCGACGAGGCGGCGGCCACCTGTTTTTGGAAACTGCGATGGTTGTTCTTCTTTTGTGAAGAACATGTGAGAGAATGAAGCAAAAGGCGGGTTTGAGTTAAAAAAATGAAAGAATGATTTTTAGGCCAAACTTTTGGCCTTTATATGAGACCCGTTGGACCGCCCACAACCCGACCCACAAACACGCGACCCGCGTGTTTGCAAGTAAAAAAGGACAAATTGCCTCTTTAATCCCTCGGGTTTTGTTAGGCATCTTTTTAGATCACTAAATTCAATTTTTACCCCAATTTCCTTTTAAATACACCCTCAATTTTATTTTTATTTCAATTTAATCCTTTTATGATTATTTTTTATTTTTTTCTTTTTTTTATTTCTTTTTCTTCTAATATTTTATTTATATATATATATATATATATATATATTACATTATTGTTTTCTTTTTTATTTGTTTTTACTTATTATTATATATATATATTTATTATTCTTTTTTACTTGTTTTTTTAAACACTATATTATATATATATATTATTTGTATTCCTTTTCTTTATTTTTCTTTTACCTTTTTTGTTTTGTTTCATTTTGTTTTTTTTCATTTTATTTAATTCCATTATATTTTTTCCTTTTTATTTTTATTTTTGTTTTATTTTGTCTTATATTCATTTTTTATTTTGTTTTATCTTATTTTTATTTATTTTACCATTTTATTTATTTTGTTTCACTTTCATTTTTATTATTTTATTATTTTTTCTTTTTTAGTTTTGTTTATTATTTGCATATTTACATACTTTCAATCTCAACTCAATTTTGTACTTCACTACAAATCTAACGTTTCTATGTATTAAGGGTACACTTTCAAATCCATCAGGGGTAAGTAATTCGGATCAATTTTTAACTTCTTAATTTAACTTGCAATTTTCTTAATTAAAGACAACTGGAAATTACATAGTACCGAAAGGGCAGTTCAAGGGTGCTAACCCTTTCTTGATTGTAACCGACTCTCGAATCCGACATATCTTTGGTAAGATGTTGATCAGTTAAGAAATAAAGGTATCCAATCAACCTATTTATCTTTAAAATAAATGATCGGTGGCGACTCTAACCCTTTTTTCAAGTCGAAGCCCAATTCTGGGCCCACCCGAAAGACGATTCCGATAGCTTGGCGACTCTGTTGAGGACAGGTAAGTGAGTCAGACTAAGGTAATTTTCAGTTGTCTTTTTAATGAAAAGGGTAAGTTTAAATTTTAAGGTAACTTTTTGATCCTTATTACTTACTTTTGATTATTTTTTTCAAATAAATAGTTGTACTGATGGTTTCTTTCAATGATTTCAGCCTTTAAAGTTTTTTTCCATATAAGGCTCTAAACTCGAGCTCCAAACCCATTTTTTAAGTGGAGGTGAAAGTAACGCCTTCATGAGAATTTTTTCTCCGCTCAGGCCTAGCAAGTAGCCTTCGAGATTCATATACCTTATATCTTCATGTGAATTATTCACCGTACAGATATAAGGGAATGTATCCTCTCGAATTTAACTTAGTCCACACAAACTTGTAATGGACTTAAGACTGGAGAACTTGGGTACCTTTTTTTAAAACCTAAATCGGGAGACTACAGAGAATTAGAGCCTACCCTGAAACCCTATTTCAAAACCTAAGATGTTTTTACCCTAATCATGCAGTTTGTTTTCATTTATTTTTTACTTTCACCATTTTTTATCATACTAACTTTGTGCTTTCGTGTTTGTCTTTCTAGCATTTGCATCATAAAAAGAGGCTATTGATCCATAAAAAGGTGTTTGTTACACATAAATAATATGAATTAATGGACAAAAGGGTTGTAATGAAAGAGATAAAAAATGTTAAGGTCCGAAAAGACCCAGAAAGAAAAAGAGACAGTCTTCAATGAAGCTATATGTTAGAACTGGTTAGCTACGCATCTGTCAGCCTAAAGCAGAATGACATATAAGAGCTTCGGGACATCTAGGACAGTTAGAAGAGTGACCAGAAATAGAAGTTCAACCAGCAGTACGCTGATATTGCATTATTACTTTATGTCAAGACTGATAAGCCCTTAATCAGAGCCTTGGTGCAATTCTGGAACCCAGGGTACAGTTGTTTCACCTTTAACCAGGATGACATGGTGCCCATAATCGAAGAGTATACTACACTGTTGCACTGTGAAAGCATTAGACTGGAGAGGGCCTACATCAAACACACTAAAAGTCATCATTTCAAGAATGGAATGGCCAAGGTTGCAGGGGTTGACAAAAAATGGGTAACTGACCGAGTTCGACATAAAGGCAGCGGGGAAGGAATTACTTGTCTTCATATCAAGCAACTATGAAGAACCATCCTGATGAGTGGAAGGAAATAGATCTCTTCGTCCTGGTCTGTATGGTTTGATTATATTCCCAAAGACTTTGGGATACATTGACGCAGCTGTGGTGGAACTATTTGAACAACTCCCGAGGCGAGTAAATCCAGCACCGACCATCTTAGCTGAGACCTTTTGATCTCTCAACCACTGTAGAAAGACTGGCGGGGGAAGGTTCATAGGGTGTGCTCAGCTTCTCTAAGTCTGGATTCACAGTCATTTCTGGAAAACTATTGGGATTGCCTAACGCCGATTTAGCACCGCTTATTCACCTTTTGTGGGAATTCATCACTCTGAAGTGGCACGAATGTGCCTCAAAATAAAAATGGATGAAAGTCTTCACACATCTTCAGGATCAAGACATTGCTTAGAGAGCTCTTTGGTTGACCCACAACGACATTCTCTTTCGATGTGGAGATTCAAACATTATGACACTACTTGGACTGTGGGGAGGAGTTGGGTATTCTTTACTTGTGGTACTTTGACAGTATGGGGTACGCCAGTTTATCCAAGCAACATATAGACTTTCTGGATCAGACTTTACGTACCATGGTGACAACTACAAGAAAATGATCAAGGAAGTAGCCGAGTCATAGAAGAAAGTGTTCTGGATTGACGTAGTGGCTGCCAAGGACATGCTTACTCCAACTATTTAGAGTGGAAAAAATTGAGGAAAAATGAAAACATCCCAGTGCCAGATTTTGAGGACACCCAGACCATGGAGGAACATCTCAGGTCTGTCCCATCCGAACTTGAGATAGCAAGGGAAGAGTTTGAAGCTGTGAAGAATGAGCTGAAACAAAGGGTAAGAGAACTTGAGGATGAACGATACCAGTGGAAGTTAGATACCGACACTCAGAAAGATCGGGCAGACAAGCTGGAGAAAGAACATAAGAAAATCCGTTTTGATATCGAAGACTTAAGAAAGGGGTACCAAGAGCAAGTCCAGAATAACTCTAATCTGAACATGACTTCTGAATACTTTAAAGGTAAAGCTAACAACCTAAAAACAAAGTTTGAGGGGCCTGATGAAATAGACACTCTGAGAGAACATCTGAAGACTGCTCAGGTGTTTGATAGACAGTCAGTATCAGAACAAACGTTTGAGAATCCAGGTAGCTAACTTAGAGAAATCTCTTTAGAAACAACAAGAGCGGGATAACAAAACCATAGATGAGTTAGAAGCCATTGTGGATGGATTCAAGAAGCAATAAAG